CCCCAACAGAATAAAAAAGTTCCAGAAGACGCAGTATTACTGATAACATTAATAATGACTGTGTTCAGCTCAGACAACATGATGGTGTGACCAGCATGCAAATACCAAGACCCTGAAACTGAGGCAGCTACAGGGAATTCAGTCATCATTTGTTTTAATATTGTCCTGTGTTGCCAAGGGTAGGGTATTGTGTTCTATTTTGACTGTGTGTGTGTGTGTGTGTATGTTGGCAAAACAACCAAAAACACACTATTTTTTACCAAACTTGGTGGGATTCTTACTTGGGAAGGTATCTCTCTATGATTAAATCTTGGAGCTAATCAGTCATTGATACACAGGACAACACAATACTTACAGAGCAGGGCTTGTGCTGAGCTGAGGTCCACCTGCTAGTCATGTGAACATGCAGAGCAAAAGCTGTATCTACCAAGTTTATGCCAAACTCAGCTCACGATGGTAAAAATTCATGGATGTTTTAACAGGTTTTTAACATGTTGAATGTTTATCATCTTATTTTAAAGTGTGGTAACATTTGTCAACTGGCACTAAACACAAAACTGAATGTCATATTTGGACAAATTGTTGACAATGGTGATGATGATGCTAGGACCATCCTACCATCGCCTTCATTGTTTTTGTTCACATGAAGTGAATCAAGCCCTGGCATAAACCTATTTTAATAAACCCTCTAAGGTGGACCTCTCTCAGACTTCAATTGTTCAAACGATCAGGTCTGACAAGACTGAGTTGTTTGAAATTGTATGCAAATATCCTCCTAAAACAGAACATGAATCAAACATGCTACAAATGGATTTAAGAGGAAAACAATGTCGATCAATATGTGAGAAATGATGACTGGGAGCTTTACAGTCATTCATAAGCCTCAGTGTTCAATAGCGATCACAGTCATATTTGCCAAACCTTGCTCCTTAATTGTTTTTGTGCCAGCCTGAAGCAATTCAATGTTTTTTTTTATCAAAGTAGCTGATCACAGAAAAATGCCGCTACTACTTCCTCTGACCTTTTCTCCTCTCGCTGAATGCATGCATGCATTTAGCTGCTGCCTTGGTGAATCAGATTGTGTGAAAGAAAACTGAACAAAAGGCGCTAGTTGTGGAGACAACATTCTGAGGCCAAGGTTTGAAAAGGCGTATAAACATTACTGCTATCTACATATGTATGTAGTATAGAATTTAGTAGTGGACCAAGCATTTCACTATACTTGTGTTATTGTGTGTGTGTATTATTGTTATTGTGTTGACCTCGGCAGTGAAAAGCATCCCTTTTACTTCCCCTGATAAACACTATTTAGCCATTTGTGTTATTATGGTCTCAAACATTTTATGTTCCATGTTTATTTATTTGCTCCCTTTGAATGATTATGATGATGGAAAAGTCTCCAATCAACCAGAGCTCTTTGAATGAAGGAAACAACTGACAGAAAATGCAGAATTTAAACAAAGGGAACAATGACAGGGATTTAAACTAACAACCCTCTTGCTGATACACCATTGAACCAATGTATATTATTTCAGAAAAAAAAGACTTGAAATGACCAGTATCGATATCGGCCTCAGCAGCTTAACGTTGAGTTGCACGCAAGAGAGAGAAACCCAGATAATTCACCAAAAGTAAATAAAGAGCCGTGTCACAACAAGCAATCAATATCAACTTTGAATAATGTAAAGAAGTGGAGCACTTTGGGCAGGATGATTAAAACGCCACAAGACAGATGACTTGGTGAAAGTAAGAGGAGGAGTGGAAGGCTTACATTGTGTTGCATTCTCCTCCAGACAACCCTCTGGGAGCAGCGGAGAAATGAAGAAGACAGAGATTTAATTGGACATCGGACAAATAGAGCGACTGAGAGAGAGACAGAATAGCAGCAAAAGAATGTCGTTAGTAGTTAGTGACGGAAAAAGTTTAAATGATAAATGGTGCCGCTGAAATTTCCCATCCACCGGCTTCATTTTACTATGAGATTTAAAATCAAACCACTTTACTCATAATGAATAACGTGAAATCACTAGGAAACCTCTCACATGTGATCAATGCAACTTTCAGGACGTGCACACAAACAGCAGCATCATGAGGAGAATTAGTCTGAAGTGGTATTTTATTTAGTGCACTCAACACAGCTCAGCTGAAAATACATGATGACTTAATTCATTCTGGTGCGAAATATTTCAGAATGGACCTCACCTCCTTCATAAAAGTATACAAGGAAACGAAGATATGGAGAAACACGGGTGAGATGCGATCAAGCGAGAAAGTCCAACCCTGAGCACTTTTTTCTCATCTTTTCCTAGAAGTTGGCCCGAGAGCACGTTAATATGAATTATTAAAGATGCTGAAACCTGTGGAGTTCCTCTAAATGTGCTTTGGCCTTTTGTCTTTTTTGTCTTTTCTTTTGCACCCCTTTAATGTGATTGTGAGCAAAGAGGAAGGTTTGGTTCGATTTTAGAGAATAAGGCCTGTTTTTGAAGATATGCTGAATTCAAGAATTACATTTTCAAGGGTCTGTCTCTGAATTACACTCATTGTGTTTATTTCTAACAATTGCAGCTTTTGAAAGTGCAGACTTCTTGTAAAGACAGACACAGTATACAGCATTTAATCTACTCTTCTGCTCCTGCATACTTTCCATTTTAATCCTGTCACACAATTTATAAGGGGATTATCCACTGTACCTTTTATTTAAAAGGACCAGATTTTATTATTAAATGGATTTGCCAAACGTGGAAGGATTACATGAAGAAGCATTTGTTAAATGGTTTGGCCTGATGATAAATTGATGACATTAAGAAAAATGTCCTGACGTATACTGTCTTGAATGTCTTTCAGTGGAATCTATTCAACACATTGATGTCAACATAACACATCATTAAAGGGAAAATTCATTTTGTCCTTTTATTAAGAATATTAGCGTGTAAATTGTACGACCATAGATTTAAATACTGTATCTAACCTGTTATTTCCGCTTATACACAGAAGTTTGCCTCATTTCCAGTCCTTCTTTCAGTAACCTGGGGCAGTGGAATCACTCTTTTTATAGTTATTTACTTTTCAACATCCTGAAGTTTGGGTTGAGTGAATCCTTAATTAGTTTTAGCCTCTTCAAGTTTGTGGATCTGAATGAGCGGATGGATTTTTTTCCCCACTTTCTTTAACAATGTGAGATTTTATTTTTATTTTATCCATTTATGGGACTAATATTTATGAGTGTTTGCAATTTGGTGTAAGCAAAAATCTGGCTCCAGCTAATTTTAATGTGAGGACTGTTGGGCCCTGGTGGAGGTATTTGCTCTCCATGTGTCCGTCTAGTTTCTGATGAGGATCATTTAAAAAAAAAAATGGTTCTAATGGTTTCTCAGAAGTAAAACATATAATTTCCTAAATTATATGTTGGAGTGTGTGTTTTTTTCTTACTCTGAGTACTGCAGTGGTGGACGTCACGCAGCAGCTGAGCTGTGATTGATTTATGTTGACATTTCAGATGGAATCTTTGAGGTACTCAATTCTTTTCTGGCCTTTGGACTTGAGCCCTGGTAAGTCTACCTTAAACTCAGCATGCTGCCACCAGGTCTGCCTCCGCCAGTAATATAAAAAAGATGCTGGCTAGAATTCAGACCCTAACAAAACTATCATGCATTGGCTTTTAAGTGAAAGTCCAACAATAAGAGAGTTATTTCAGGGATGCACTGGTGGTCTCATACAAACTATTTCAAGATTTATTTGCTGTTCCATCATCTCTCTCAAAGAACTTTGCTTTTAATTGTGATAAGTATGTCACTTTATTTGCTATTTTAAACATAATTTATTTTGATCCTCTTGTCTTAACTCTGTGTACGTACCAGTCTATCCAGGCTTGTTCCAGCTGCTGTGGTCGGCCTCTCCTCAGGGGTGTAGGGTCTGAAACGAGTGCTGAACACATCTGAGATGCCACGGGTAGACCTGCCTATTCCCAATGGCTTTGGTTGGCCACAGCCTTGAAAAACCTAAAATGAAGAAAGGATGGTACAATCAGCAAAGGCTGACCACAACCAAACAGTGAAAGAGAAAAGGAACTGGTCCGTCTCTAAGAATGTTTTAATATTTGAGGAAATAGCATGACTTTGTTCTGCAGCATAAAAAAATGCAGCTGCCCAAACTTGTCTTTGTGGAATACTCATTTTTTTGATCCCCTAAAAGTTTGCCTGCACCACTGACATGTTTCATTTGAGAAGCCACTGTCAGTTTGCTCCCCCCCCACCATTTCTGCTTTGTGATAGAAAATGATATAGAACCAGTCTCCTGCAACCACTGTATCAGTGCCCAGGTCTCCTTTTACAGGAAGTGTCACATTGGTGGCAAAAAGGAATTTGCTTGAAAATGAATGTCAAGCTTCAAAAAGAAATGCATTTGATCAGAGTTTAAAAACACATGATGGACCAAAGTTAAACCTGTTCATCACAAAATGTTATATAATTGAGCTTTGATTATGGGTATAAAACTAATAATGTATGGAATATAGGAAAGTGTCTTAATGTGGCGAATAACATATTTTCTCATGTTTACAAGCCTGATGCCAATCTCAACTGACCCCTGACAAGTCTGGATAAGAAAAACGTAGTATTAGTGCTTAGTGTTAATCCTCAGAAAATAATTGGACGCTATATCAGGAAACACAATCTTAAAAAACACTGTTATTTACTTCTCTGAAATACAAACTTTTGTTTTTTTGTTGTTAAATTGAGCCAAAAAAAGAAATACAGGTCTTTTATTATTTGAACCATACATTTATTCCTGTGACGTTCAAAGAACTTCATTCTGAGAATAGATTGTTTTCAGATGGCTCTGTCTCTATAGGCTTTTAGGGCCCAAACAACAGACCTGCAAACAGCACAGCTCATTAGGATTCCTGTCTGGCCTGTCTGCTGGCCCCTGGCACAGGATGTGATGGAGCACTCTAATGTGCTACATGGCCGTCATGACAAGAGGCTGTCTTTTCTCTAATATTTATCACTTCTTCAACATGACTACAATTCCACTATCCTGTACATCTCACAAGAAAACCGATTTTCAACAGGCTCGCGCTGTAAGACTGAAGGCACAATGCAGAGTGGCCTGACACATTCTGCAAAGCGCGGTGACTGAGGAAGGACCACGTACTGTTGAGATGCGAATGTGGGAGAAAAGATTGTAATCTCAGAGCAATCTTTCAGCCGAGCTCAACCTTCAAGTGTCAAGTGCTTAGACAATGGGTCAAGCTGTGAATTGCAGCTCCCCAGTTATAGAAAAGAATGCAACATCTAATTCACTGACCTTTGCAACCCGGGAGTGAAGATGGAATATATCAAAGCATCAGAATTAAAAGTTAAGCTTAGAAGGCTGCTTTTAGATAAGAAAAATATATACGTGACTGTACTGTACGTGCTAATATCCTGAGGTGTTGCTTCATATTTAAATCTTTTCCACTGAGTGATTAGATATTTGAACTCTAAAGTTTCTAAAGAGGAAATTAAGTTACTTCCCTTGCATGTTAACTATCTTAACGCACATTCATATAATATGAAACTGTTTGCCAAAATAAAAGAGAAATGTGTTGTCCAACGTTCTTATCCTGCGACCCAGGTTTGATCCTAAATATTTTGATTAAGGTTGTAGATGGATTGTTGAATTGGCTGAGTATCGAAAAGTGGACACATCTTGTTTCAGGTTTTAAGACAAAGACACAATGAGAGGACAATGCAGTGAATTAAATGATATATATATATATATATATATATATATTATGACAATTCTATTATAAGAATTTTGTGACTGATAATTTCTTGCAAAAGAAAAGTTTTTTTTAAAAATCTTTGCTTTTGTAAATTAGTACAAAAGCAAATAAAGTAAAGATTTATATATAAATATATACACGTATTTACAAATCTTATTCAATCATGGCAAACAAAGCTTACTTAGGGCACAGTACCTTGGCTGACACTTGCATGCTGTTGTCTTGCATGGTCATGATAGCTTCAGAGATCTTGATGTCAATTGGCTCAATAACTGCTTCGATGTTGAAGGGTCCCTCCAGTCTGTCTGCCACCAGTAACATAGACTCTGTTATAACACAGAGGACACATGTCAAGATATGAGAGATGTTACACATGCACACATAGAAATGTCACTACTTCAGTTAGCACATACTGTATACGCATACAAACAAGTTTATATCATGTTAGAGGATTAGAAATGTTGCAAAACCCTGAGAGTACAATCCCTGACATGGGTTAAGGTTTGAGTTCTGATAAAAAACTGCCACTGACCAATCAAAAACAAAAGAGGAAACTGTCAGCGCCTTCGTCTAAACACAAACACAGAGAGGAAGAACGAGATAGACAAAGTGCTTGTTAGTGTAGTGTTGTAGTGCAACAACAAGTCAAAATTAAATTTCAATATGCTTAGTTGACAAATGGCTTTTACATAAAACAAATCATTGATTTGCATATGCTAATGGTCCAGACAGAGGACGACAAGACTTTTGATTTATTCATCCGTTTGGATTAGTTTTTCTAAATTGTGAAAATGTTTCAATAAATTCATAGAATCCATGTCTTCATCTCATGCTAGTAATTACTTTTTAATTACATCTCAGACACTTGTTTATTTCTGTCAAGCATGACTTACATAAGACAGCAAATCCTGCATGTATCACTTAAAAACATGTTATATCAATTTTTGAACTCAACAAGAAGCACAACAAGTTCAAAAGTGTGTGGAGGCTGTAGTTTTAACCCAAGTAACAAAAGTGTGGCTTAGGCTTGGGCTCAGGACGCCCACTGAGTGATAGAGAAGTGCACGTGAATGTGTGTGACAAGTATTTAAAGTGTGTCCATTCACTTCTTGATTATTTCATACACAAATATTCTTATGTACTGTGTCCTTGAAAACATATGAATCGTGTATTATTACTACAACTTCCGACCAGTGTTACAAGTTTTGGGAAACTCATACCCCAAAAATCAAACCTTTCGTACCGCTTATCCTGAAGGCTTGCATATCATACAAAACTGCATAAATAAACACATTGCAACAATACATTAAAGTTCACATGGGATGTGGAGGCTTCTACTCCTTATAAGTCTCATTCACATATATACCTGTGTACTGTGTCCTTACTCGAAAGGCTTCTCATATCACTCACATCATCTTTCTCATTAGATGACCTCACAGTCATGGCACAAATCCTGACTTCTTTCTCAGAAATATCCACATGGATGCAGGAAAGCTTACTACCTCTTTCGAAGAATGAACTCTTAGCCATTCCATCCAATCAAACACGCAATCATAAAAACAATATCCAGATTGTGTCTCAGTCTCTCTCAGAAGAAACTTGGGGGTCAGGTTTGATTACCAGCTATCCTTCCCTGACCATGCTGCATCCGTCTCTTAGTGCTAAATGAAAAAAATCGGACATGTGCCATGGTGATCTTTCGGCTCAATCAGCGCAATGTGAAGTGTGTCTAGTCTTTGATCAGCCTTAAGGGCCAACAGAACACTATTTAAGGCACCTATACAACATCTGGTTGTGCCTCAACTCAATTATAAAGGCTTCTGCCGGCTCATGGCTACTGTGTTTCTACCTTCAAAAACCTCTGGAAGACCAATTTCTTCCAAGAAACACCTCTGAACACCATGACCCTCCTAATGAGAACTCTTCAAATGTTCTCCTACGCTAACACGTAGTACTTACTTCAAGGTCTCCTTCTGTGAGGATCTGTCAAATTAGTACATGATGTGAATGCTATGCACATTTAAAAGAACCAAAACACAGGGAGCATGGCATTTTTACTCAGCGACGAGAATCGATAACTAAAACGGATTGCCCACCCAACTGCCACTTAGTCATATTAAGACAATGTGATGTTATCCTTTTCATACACAGGGATGATACTATTGATCATCTCGGACTGGGAGAAGTCAGCAGTGAAAATAAAGTGTTTGACATTTTCATTATACTCTTCCCTGTCTCTCAAAAAAAAGTAATTAAAAGTCCACTAAGTTTTGTTTGAAGGGTTAGCGCTGGTTAAGTGGGAGGGCATCGATATCAAGAAGTCTTCAATCTCGGTGCAGTGGCATTTACAGGGATGTGGACCAATCAGGAAAGGCCTATTTGCCTCTCTGCGGGCTGCTCCTTACAAAAGAGAAGCAGAAACACTATTAGTCATCTGCTGTGTCTTTAGCTGTGAGGAAAGGGAGTGTAAATCATTAGATCATAAGTTATCGTGACTAGAATTTTGATGTGGAGTGATCATTAGTCTCTACTACAGGTCTTTAGGCTTCGGCAGCACAGCCTGATGATTTTACATCCTGCTGTGACACTGGTAAACAGCAAGACTTCCACGGTCTCTGGCTAGAGTCAGGGCCTAATCACAGGCAGAGAGCAAAACAGAACAATTTCTGTTTGCATTTAAGAAGAAATGTGGTTAATAGGATCCATCATCAGACTAACAAATAGCAATCCAGTGACTCAATATCATAGTTTACCTAGTTTATTTATTATTTGTTGAAACTTGCTGTCTTTATTTGTGGCCTTGCTGTTAGAATCCAAGGATTTTCAGATCTCTAGGTCTGATCTTGTTTTTTTAAACAGAATAAAAAATGTTATCACACGTTGTGTGTTATTATGCAGAAAAAGAAAGATATCACAAAATATATTCTAGCCTTGCTTTCGTCCATCTTAATACTTAATATCCAGGGGCTCTGTCTCAGCCCAACAGAATTATGCAACAGCTGCAACCCAACCTCCAAGCTGGTGAAATGATCCTTGGCGAATGATCAGTGGGTGAAATTCTGGTTGTGATTTGAATCTGGATTAGACCAGATCAAAAGATTATTGTGTTCGAGTCCAGACTCATGTTCATATGTCTTAACTTAGCATTTTAACACCCAGAGTACTGATAATGACATCACATCCCCACTGGGTGATAGTTTGTAAGTTCAGGCTATAACTCTGAAGAACTGTCCAGAAGGATCCTGACATTGATTCAAGCAGAACTACACCATTTGTACAAAAAGCACAAATGTCAGTGCTCATTTATTTTCCATACTGCGGACTTCTAAAATAAATAGTTTGACATTTAGGAAAATGCAGGTTGGATGAAAAGATCAATACCACTCTCATGTTAAAAGTAAAGTTTACTTTTTGACTTTAAACTTTTTGCTATTCAAGATTTATTTTACCAATACCTGCTGAGTGTGTTTCCTTTCTCATGAAACCGTTGAATTATCTACATCTATATTTGCTTGCTTCCTTATCTCTGCAGATGCATTGTGTTGTTTTTGTGCGTTACTGCTGTCAAATATAAATAGGTGGAACAGTGAATCCAAAGGGAGAATGTACATTGTTCCACTAATTTGCTCACACACATGCTGAACACAAAGGAGAAACATTTGCTTCATAGCGAAGGTCAAAAGCCTTTCCACAAAAATATATTAAAACATTGGAAAAATTATATAAAGACTTCATAGATAGGAAATTTAACTGTGTAATTTCCCCAAATATATGCAGCTCCCAGGTCGTATACAGTATCTCTGACATCACTGGTCAGAATTTTAACCAAACTTGTAGGAATGACGCACCTTAGTTAACCGGTCATATTAATATACTATGATCATGAGATACAATGTCATTTTTCATGGTCATGAACTGCAACATCAATCTAGTTTGGATTGAAGACAAAGACAATAATTCAATTATAAAGAAAATTCAGTTGAGTAGCTCTCCCTGAATCTGACAACTCACAGTTCAAACCTTTTAAACCAAGCCTGGCCATAACAACTTTAGGCTATCAGCTTATTTTTTATTCTTCCAAATGCATGTGTCAGGTTATATATGTTGTATATCCTCCTCTGTCTGTTTCTGGCCGTGTCTGTGAAAAGCAGCATTTCTGTTTGTTTACCTCGGAGCCTCAGATTGTGCGTGATGCTCGGTTAGATTTTCAAAAGGATGTGGCCGGAGGTCACTGTGGAGTCTTCAGTTGACTATGTTGAGTCAATCATTGCTCTAATGCCACTGCAACAAAGGCTCAGTGGACTTGAGTGAGAGTAGATGGAAAATTGCCAGCAATTCTGTACTGATTCACAAAAAGACTCAAAGACTTAAACGGCATCCTCAGATGAGTTCTGACAAACTATTTTTCATATAACTTTATTCATATTTGATGGACTGTGAGTATGAGTCAGCCATATGAACAGCTAGGAGAGCAGGTTACTTCTACGAGCTTAAATCACTTCTGAAATGATGTCACATATGGGAACGCTTCTTTGGAATGCTTTGTTGATGAAAAACATCTTCACGTTGAATTGGTTCTAACCATAAATTATAAAGGGGGCTCAAAGAAGATGATATTTTGTGTGCAGGATAAGCTGTTTCAATTATGCACAATGTTTGGCTCATACCATCTGCACCACCATCCTTTGGTCACCACTGTGTAGTCACAAGTGTAGTATCCTGGATCCTGGTGGGAGGGGGTTTGTTATCTTATTTATCCCTCTTTCTTTTTTCTTTTTACAGACTGCAAAAACACATTTCAACAGAGTTTTAAAAATATGTCACTCAAAACAGTTTTTCTGTATCCACAGCACTTCCAACTGGTTAAATATCTTTAAAAGAGACATATTGTTATGCTCACATTCAGGCTCATAAGTGAGATGTGGGTTATCACTTGAAAAGGTTTACATGCTCTGATGTTGAGAAAACACACGTTTCCTCACATCGTCCGATGCTGCAGCTCTACTTTTCAGCCTATGAAACGCTTTGATTTAGCTGCGGTCTCTTTAAGGCCATCCTCCCAACAGAGACCAGTCTGCTCTTGGCGAACCACTTCAAGCACATGCGGGCAGTGTTGGTGAGCATTATTCAAATGTGTGGAAGTATTTGTGACGAGGCGTTTCAGGAGCATCTGGAGCTGTATTTTCTGTGGGGAAGAGGAATTCACATTACCATAGACTTTCTACTCAGAATACCTATAATATACACTTGAGGAAGGAAAAAATGAAAAAATAAATCAAAACACATCTCCTTTAAATAAAGTCTTTTGAAATGGTATACACACACA